ACAACCCAAGGGGAAAAAAAAAGTGGCACAAACAACCATCTAATGTCAGCGGAGAACGATCATTTGCATTCACCAATTTGCAGCGTCCAAACACCATCAATCGCTTCTTCGATCGGGAGACAAAAGTTGGTTTGCCTACAAGATTAGGGTCTAATCCGATTCTCTACACAACTTAGCGGCCAACTCAGCTATCCCAGAGATGTAAGAAATAAGACTATAGTATCCTATTTGCATATAGTGTTAAGTACGGGTACTTCACAATTTACGATTGTCATGGGCTTTAACCTATGATTTTTTTCTCATACCGAATGTCCATTCAGTCAAAACGGATGGCTTTTATAATTTCATGATTTCGAGCTATAACTCGCAATTTTTTGCCACTTTTCATATTTCAAACCATTGGCAGATAATTTCCTGAGGGCTAAAATTTCCAATTTAGTAAAGCTATAACCAATGATTTTTAGCCACATTTTTTTAAACAACTCTGCAAATGCCAAATTTACGATTATGTGAGTTATAACCTATGATTTTTGGTTATTTTAGTTATTTTGAACATTGCTAAATAATTTCACTGAGGCTAAAATTCACGATTTTAACCAACAAATGTTTGCCTCGTTTTAATCATTTTGAGCCGTTGTTAAATAATTTTACAGACAAAATTCACAATTTTGTGAGCTATAACTCATTATTTTCGGTCATTTTTAGTCAATTTGAATCATTTAAAAATAATTTCACAAGGCAAAAATTAAACGTATCATGAGATATAGCCCATAATTTTTGTCCATTATTAATCATTTCGACATGTTGGCACATAAATTTGTGGACACTAAAATTCAAGATTTAGTGAGCTATGTAACCCATGATTTTTTGTCATTTTTAGTCATTTCTGACCCCTTGGCAAAATGTTCTGCGAAGGCAAAAGTTCTCAATTTCGTGGGCTATTACCCATAATTTTTGGCTTTTTTAGTCATTTCAATCTATTGCCAAATAATTTACTATTTGGCAAAAATTCACAACTTCATGAGCTATGTATCCCATAAATTTTGGCCAATTTTAGTCATTTTGACCCTTTGGAAATTTATTTTACGAGGGCTAAATTTCATTTTTAGGCCATTTTTAGTCATTTCAATCAGTCAAGAAATAATTATGCAAATGCCAATTTTTATAATTTTATGAGCAATAACCCACTATTTTTGGCCATTTTTAGTCATTTTCACTTGCTGACAAATAATTTCGTAGAGATCAAAATTCACAATTTTGTAAGCTATAACCCATGATTGTTGGCCATTTTCAGTTGTTTCAATTCATTAATAAACAATTTCGTGAATGTTATAATTAAAAATTATGTGAGCTGTAACCTAAGATTTTAGGCCAAATTTCACAACTTTATGAGCTATAACCCACTATTTTTGGCTATTTTTAGTTGTTATAACTTGTTAACAAATAATTTTAATGAGACCAAAATTAACAATTTTGTGATCTATAACCCACGATTTTTAACCATTTATTAGCTATTTTAAATCCTTGGCAAATAATTTCTCAGAGGTAAAAATTTGAATTTATGATTGCAACTAACTTTTAGCCATTTTTAATCATTTTGATCCTTTGGTAAATAATTCCACAAAGGCTAAAATTCACAATATCATGAGCTATAAGCCATGATTTTTTACCATTTTTATTCGATTTGGCATGTTGGTAAATTCTGCGAAGGCCAAAATTCAATATCCCATGAGTTATAGACAATTTTTTAGTCAATTCAACACGTTGGTGAATTCTACAAAGGCCAAAATTAAATATTTCATGAGCTATAGACAATGATTTTTTGCCATTTTAGTCACTTTGACCCATCACCAAATAATTTTATGAAGGCCAAAATTCACAATTTTGTGAGTAGTAACCCATGATTTGTGGCCATTTTTAGTCGTTTTTAATAATTAGTAAATATTTTTGCAGTGGCTAAAATTAAACTTTTCTTTAGCTAAAACTCATAATTTTTTACAATTATTAGCCATTCAGACACACTGGCAAACAATTTTGCGGAAGCTAAAATTTACGATTTTGTGAGCTATAAGCCACGATTTTTTGTCATTTTAGCCTTGATTTTTTGGTCTTTTTAGTTGTTTCAATTCATTGCTAACTAATTTCATATTGGCAAAAAAAATCAAGATTTCATGTGATTTTGGCTAATTTTAGTCATTTTGAGCCGTTGGAAAAAAATTTTGCAAGGGCTAAAATTCATAAATTCATAAGATATAACCCATGATTTTATTCCATTTATAGCATTTTTATTAGTTGAGAAATAATTTTACAGTGGCCAAATTTCATGATTTTATGATCAACAACCCCCAATTTTTTACCCTAATTTTTGACCATGTTTAGTCATTTTGACCTACTGACCAATAATTTCTCAGTGGCCAAAATTGTGACGCCCATGTTTTCATGCATGGCTGCAGTCCAAGGTGAACCTAGAGATGTCAATCTTATCATGCATCTCCACTGTACAACATGTTTCACAAATCACATTAATATTCTCTAGTGGAAACAATATAAGTGAAGGTACAAAACAGACAAATAAGGAAAAGAAATACTATAGACATGATACGGAATGATATATCTCATAAATGAAATCATGTCCCAACTAGAATAAACTAAAATACATCTGGAGTCTAAAATAACATGATATGTCTCAACATGGATCGCCTAGGAATCGTACTAAGGCAAATTGCCTTAATAATATGAGTACAAACTCAAATGATTGAATAGAAATATAAGACTACTGTGGAGTCCATACTAGTAAAAATACGCGACGACGACTATGCAAAAACTCTGTCATCCTGCGACTCTCCGATGCTCTGAACTGCCTGAAATGAGAAATAAAATAAAATAAAAAGAATAACAACAAGAACGTCAGAGCGCTACAATAAGATTACCTCCATCCGTCCCCGGGGAGGGTAACTAGATGAAGTGAATGTTCTATTTATTAAGCATAGTCTATTTATATTATTTTCCCCGAATCTATGTGGAATTAATATTTAGAAACTTACAACTCGAGACGTAGTACGTCGAGCGTAATAATCCAAACAAGAAAACCCTCGTGTATATATCGTATGTCTCATGTAGGAAATAACTAAATATTAACCCTGAACTAAACAATTGAAATATAACTGGAAAGTAAAGCATCATAAAAGACATATATATATATATACCGTGTAAAATCTGTTAGACCCTAGAGGGGGGTGATTAGGATCTTATGCTAATCTAATCCGATTTTATGCCAATTAAAATTAATATAAATATATTCTTACAAGACAGATATACAAGAGTTATAAGCAATAATAAGCAATATGAATAAAGAGATATATCCTAGCAAAGAGGTAATATATGCAAGGATATATAAACTAGCACAAGATGATATATCACATGATGATATATCCTACCAAAGAGATATACAATATGATATATGCAAGGATATGTAAACTAACACAAGGGTAAACAATATGAACTAGATAGTGGATGATAAAAATAATAAGCTATGGACAATGGCGACAAGAAATATAAACATAAGATTAAGTGCGCCAAAGCAAACTCAAACACACGATATGATCACGGAGTTCGGACATTCCGTCCTACGTCTCTGCTCCCCTCTTCCGGGGAGAAATCCACTATCACAACCGGGTTTTCTACGCTCACCCAAATAACGTTTACAACCACACTATGTCGGTTTTCAACGATCACCGATCAACGTATACACTCACTCACAATGTCGGTTTTCAACGTTCACCGATCAACGTCCACTCCTCACACTCGGTTTTCTAGCTAACCGAAAACTTTACAATCTCACAAAGATAACAAATGATTTGTTCTCTAATATAATGCGAGAACTCAATTAAAGCTTAACTCAAATTAAAGCTTAACTCAATGTTACAATTTCTCACAACCCTAATATACTATGTATGTAAATACTAAAAGCTCATGTGGGTGTGTGTAACAAAGAGAATAAATAAAACAACTAAACTCAAATAAAATCTAGCATATAGAAGTTATGAATAAAACAATAAATAGCTAGAAATAGAGTTTAGGAATTCTTCTCTGAAAAACAAGATGGAGAGATGGATTAAAATGATACGAGTTGCCGTGCGAGCACTCTTGATCGCGGAATTATCAAGAGTGGGTAAAGAGAAAACGACAGAAGAACACAAGAGTTGAATTAGGGCGAAGGAAAATACCTTCTCTAGATTATGAGAATCAATTGGATTTTTACAAATCTCTCTCTCACAATCTCTCTAGATCAAAGAACAACCTCCCTGATCTCTTTTCTGATTACAAACTGAGTTCTAAACCCTAGAAAAGTCATGTTTCTATTTATACTAAATAGAAATCCCAACTGGAGCAGGAAACAGACCCAGGCCCAGAACCGCTACGCGGTCGACCGCAGTGCCCAAGGCGGTCGACCGGTCAGAACGTCGAAATCTGGGAAATCGATTACAGGGTTTTCCGGTCGACCGCAGCGCCACCTTCGGTCGACCGCTCTCAGTCCCGAGACATAGTCTGGGTCTGTGCACTAAGCGGTCGACCGCCGCGACCAAGCCGGTCGACCGGCCAGAGCCCAACTGTAATTCCTGCAGTTTTGACGAATCCTTCGACTTCGTTGCTTCCAATGGCCTCTTCCACGACTCCTCTACTCTATTCTCAAGATACCATGAAATCATCTATCCTCAAGCTCCCATGAGGATCGCTAAGCTCCCGAAGAGAAGATACACCCGTATCATCGTATGTTGCATACCCTTTGTAGGAGGCATTTGGGAACTTATCTACTTGAGATTTGCATTCTTCCTAATTAGTAAAAATACCACATCGTCGACCTCTCTTCATAATATAAAAACTTTTTCTAGCCATGGATAACCTGAAAATACCCCAGGTTGGAGGGTAAACAAAA